AGCTAAGTGAAACAGACAGTGCAAGTGGAAGAAAGGTGGGAGAGGAGGTTGTCCATGAGTTTCAGTTTACTACACAGAAAACAGTAAAACCCTCTATCCCAAACACGCACCTGAACAAGGAAACAGAAAGGCAAAAACAGGTGAAAACTACTTCATCTGTGATGAAATTTGCAGTTGGCATCAGAACCTACACTGTCTATATATCAGAGGGGCAGGAAAACATGAAGCTAGGGAAGCCTTGGAATAGGAGGACAGTCTAAAAGAGAAGCACTTGGTGCTCCTTGAGTGTCTGGGTTGTAAGTAGACCAAGATGGCACCTGCATGGTCATCCTCCTTGGGTTTGAGCTGAGAGTTTCAACGTAAGTTCAGGAATATAAAACAGATTTTTGTTTGGCATGAAACTGTTGGCTGAGTATCTTATCTCCTCTCAATTCCATCCTCAGGCCTTATTACTGAATTTAGGGCATCTCAGGAACTTTCTTTTACCAGATAGCTTTAATTGTATGCCTCCAGAATCTCTTTGAAGGAATAGATGATTCTGCCTCTATGTCTCTTTTTCACTTTCATTCATTTATTGGAGAAACCAGGTCATTTGTCCTGTCAACTTCCCATCATTTAGTTTTTAGTGATTATATTCTATTGATTTTTTAAAAGTAAGGAAAGCTAAGTGAAACAGACAGTGCAAGTGGAAGAAAGGTGGGAGAGGAGGTTGTCCATGAGTTTCAGTTTACTACACAGAAAACAGTAAAACCCTCTATCCCAAACACGCACCTGAACAAGGAAACAGAAAGGCAAAAACAGGTGAAAACTACTTCATCTGTGATGAAATTTGCAGTTGGCATCAGAACCTACACTGTCTATATATCAGAGGGGCAGGAAAACATGAAGCTAGGGAAGCCTTGGAATAGGAGGACAGTCTAAAAGAGAAGCACTTGGTGCTCCTTGAGTGTCTGGGTTGTAAGTAGACCAAGATGGCACCTGCATGGTCATCCTCCTTGGGTTTGAGCTGAGAGTTTCAACGTAAGTTCAGGAATATAAAACAGATTTTTGTTTGGCATGAAACTGTTGGCTGAGTATCTTATCTCCTCTCAATTCCATCCTCAGGCCTTATTACTGAATTTAGGGCATCTCAGGAACTTTCTTTTACCAGATAGCTTTAATTGTATGCCTCCAGAATCTCTTTGAAGGAATAGATGATTCTGCCTCTATGTCTCTTTTTCACTTTCATTCATTTATTGGAGAAACCAGGTCATTTGTCCTGTCAACTTCCCATCATTTAGTTTTTAGTGATTATATTCTATTGATTTTTTAAAAGTAAACTAGTTTTGGCAGTTTATACTTACAGAAAATTTGGGAGGGCTGTGCAGAAAGTTCCCATATACTACTCCTGTTTTAACATTATACATTAGGATGGCACATTACAGATCAATTTTTTGGCAAGAATAATTAATGGTGGTAACAGTGGTAATGGTCATAATCCCAAAAAACACAATACTGAACACTGTAATCCTGAATGTTGAAATCCTGAAAACTACAGTTCCTGTGGGGAGAAAAAAAATAAGAAAGGCAGAAAGCCAAGTTGAGGGGAAAGGTTTCGTATATTATTCAGTTGAGCACGGGGTAGTCGATAACCATTCAAGGGTGGACTATTTCAGCCCTTCACACACAGCACCATGCTGCTTAGAAAATATACTTTATCAGAAAATAGAAGCAATTCCACCAGCTCAGTGACCTTCTGGACCAAAAACACATGCTGATGTTGAAGTTGCTCCTATGTCTCAGAACACACTAAATGGTGACCTATGATCAGTTAGAACTCTTGACAGTTGAAGAAGACACACCGTTACATATACCACTAAATCTAACATTGGCTGACTTTGGCTAATGGATGGCACTTTCAAAACTCTCCCCACTGTTTTCAGTCAAATATGTATAATTCATGCCTCTGTTGGATGAGAAAATGCTAGAGTTTACATGCTCATTTATGTGTTAATACCTGGAAAAAAGTCAAATATTGCATAAACACCTATTTGAAGATTTGGTGGACTCTCAAGAAGAAAGTGAATTTCAATTGAGTACCAAACAATAATGAAAGATTAGGTGTGATCAGTGCTTCCAAAAATGCATTTCAAGGTATTACTGGCAAAGTGGTTTTTTCCACTCAGCCCAGTACATTTTGCAGAAAATTCAGAAGAGTGGCTTGGCCCTGCAATATGGCAACAGTATATACTTCAGTTTAAAGTTTGTTTTGTCTGCATTGGCATTTCTTCTATGTAACCCAGCTGCCCTGGAACTTGTGATCCCCCTGCTTCAACCTCACAAATGCTAGTCTTACAGCTGTGTGCCACCATGTCCAGCTAACTTTCTAGATCTTTAAATGAATTTAAACTGCATTTGCCTGAAGAAGCCAGTGAAGTGACTGACTGTTTTGAAAAACATTGTATGCACAATAGAATAGGAACACACATAGTGATATTGCCGTTCAATCACCATTATTGTTTCTACCAAATTTCCAGTCTGTGTATGAGTACATATGGAACGGATTTTCCAAACAACACAGAAGCACAGCACAGAAGATGGGAAAATTTAATAGAAAATGATCATGTCAGTATATATCAAATCATATGAGAATTTCAAAAAGCATATCACCAGGAGGAAAATGAATGTAGACATAGTCTCCAAGGACAGCCATGCCTGAATAAAAAGCAAACAGATGCAAGACTTCAAAGTACAGTCATCCTGGATGTCAACCAGCTCTTATGCACTACTTCTGTGCGACTGCCCATAACTGTCCCGTCACACACTTAGTCATATGTCGTATTTTCTTTTCCTTTTTGTAGTCCCCCCCATACACACTAGTTAAAACTATCAGTATTTTTTTTTTTACAATTTGCTAGGATATATAGTTCATCTTTGTATCATTTCTAACACTGGAGCTATTAACTGTGCAAAGACTTTTTATTTTATGCATTCTTGTTGCAAATTTGATTCCATGAAAATTGAATTATCATAATGCTGACTTAGTGTGTAAGCATTACATGTGTCTGAAAAAAGTGGAAACTTCCTCAATAAATGAAGAGATGTCCTTTGTGTACATCTGCATTTATATAAAATAATTTTTTTGAGATCTCAGCTCTTTGGGCAACTGCATATAGAGTAGGGACCCATGGCAATTTTTAATTGACCTCATCAAAAGACTCATGATATCTCAGATAACTGTAGTTATAAAGCTAAGTGCACATGATTATCATCCACAGAGATGTGTATTTTACGTTGAACATTTTCACCTATTTTAGTGGAAAGAATTCATCTGTTCCTGTTACACCTGTGTGACTGTGGTAATGCTATGAGTTCACATGCTTAGAAAACTAAGTATGTTATTAATTTCTATTTTGTTGTACAAAGCAGCCTATGAAGTGTTCTGTTGTATTTTTATGTTTCTCAAATAAATCCCCTTAGAAAATGTAAACAAGGAGGCACGGTGATGCATGCCTGCAATCCCAGTTATCAGGAGGGAGGCAAGAAGCAGGAGAGTCTTGAGTTCTAGGTCAGCCTAGGGAAAGATAGCAAGACCCTACCTCAAAAATGAAATAAAAACAAAAGGGTAAAGTGCTTTCCCAGCAAATGTGAGGCCCTGGGTTCAATCCCCAGTATGGCAAAAAGCCTTTTAAAGGTTATGTAAATTAATTTTTCCAGAATTATATTTTCACAGTTTTAACCTTTCTACTGTGCCCTAACCTTCAGCTCCAAGACTGGCTTCATTAACTGTGTGCCTGGAAGTTTTCAGTGCTCTACACCTTTCACAGATGAGCAACTGAGAGAGTTCAGTGACTTCCTAGGTCACAGGCCTGTATGTGGGTGAGTTCTGGGCTCTTCTCTGTCCTAGGCTGTCACTTACACACAGACTGTGACTTTATGCCCAGGCCCTCTCCAGGAGCTGCCTCTTTCTTTCCTTTGTGCAATAGACTCTTGGTATAGAGCAATCTTCAGGCTGGGGAAGGTTTAGCTGGGACGTGAGATCTTGAATCCCTATTTCTCATCGCCAGGCCCCTGTGTGGCTCCCTGCACGGTGCTAAGGCAACCCACCTACTCTCCATTCTCCCTCACTGCTTTGACCTTCAAACACCTTAGAAAGGCAGGGGTGGGGGGGGTGTTTCTATCCGGCTTTTCCTCACTTTCCTTTCTGTGCTATAAGGTTTCACGTTAGATCACTCCTCCCCTTCCTTCCCCAGCAAATGTCATTGCATCCTGTGCCTTCTCCATGTATCACGTCCTGTGTATCAAAACCCGGCCTTCATCACCTCCCAGGGCCACGGCCACTACAAATCTTCATTAGAACTACATTACCACTGACCGCCCTTCCTCTCCCGGGCCATAAACTCTGTCCTAACGGGGAACCCATCGCTGCCCCTACACTAAGACCGTGAGGTTCCCCTCAATTCCACCCTTCAGAGTAGTTGTCACACCCACCTCTCCCTCCTCCCCGACGGCCTAGGGAGGGCATGGTCTCTGGGCCAGATTCCGCCATTTCCCCCCTAACCTTAGCCCCAGGCTCCTTGCCGTGTGTACAACCCAGACCACAAATGTCATTCTGTAACATGACATGACTCCAAGTTTTCCCTCACCTAGTGCCTTCTGGGTAATTAAATCCTGCTCAGGCTACACAGCCTCCAGACATCCGGGGAACTCCTGGGGCTCCAGACAATGACGTAAGCACTTATTCAGTGGCCTTGCTCCGCGTTCAGTGCTCAGGCCTCACCTTCAGCCTAGTCCAGACTTGACGGCCAACCGTGAGAAAGCTTTCAGTTTCCCTAGGGTTCGACTACCTTCTCCTCTCTCCCCCGAAAGCCCCGCCCTGATTGGCTGGTGTCAGGCCCAGTGGCGAAGCCCCCCCCTCCAACCCACCTAGGCACCGCCCCTGAAACCTGCAGGGATTGGTGCTGGCACCGCCCCGACCGGAGCCCCGCCCACTTCACCACGTGGGCGGGCCTGACTGGGAAGGGAAATCCTTCAGCTATGGCGGTCGGGCGCAAAGTGGAGCTGGCCGAGGCCCTGTCGCTGGGGCCTGGCTGGCGACACGCCTGCCACGCGCTGCTCTACGCGCCCGACCCGGGGATGCTCTTCGGCGCCATCCCGCTGCGCTACGCAGTGCTGGTGAGGAGGGGGCGCGCCCGGCCACTCCCCGCCCCGGCCCTGCGCCCTCCTTGGGGCGCGGTTTTCAGACACCCCCGGCCAACCCCCACTTCCTCCTCCCTCAGATGCAGATGCGCTTCGATGGGCGCCTGGGCTTCCCTGGCGGCTTTGTGGACCCGCAGGACAGCAGCCTGGAGGACGGGCTGAACCGGGAACTGCGCGAGGAGATGGGCGAGGCGGTGTCCGTCTTCCGTGTGGAGCGCGCTGACTACCGGAGCTCCCACGCCGGGGCCAGGCCGCGCGTGGTGGCCCACTTCTATGCCAAGCGTCTGACGCTGGAGCAGCTCGAGGCCGTGGAAGCTGGCGCGCCACAGGCCAAGGACCATGGGTTGGAGGTGCGGTCAGCCTGGGACCCGCCCCACATCCATCAGTTCCCCCTTTCCCTCTGGTTTTCCTCCTGGTTTTCCCCCACAAGGAAAGCCTCCCAGGAGGGAGGTCCTAGACCCTCAGATCTTGCGCTGTCTCTCAGTTTCAAGGAGTTGTTGGGATCTTGGTCTTCTCAAACCTGGATTGTACAGCCTACCTGGTCTTTGCCAGGGCCTCTTCCCCTCCCCCGCTTAGAGCTCTGTTCAGAACACACCCATCCAGGTCTCTGCTGTTTCATATTGACAGTGTGATAACGGTCAGGCATTACACCTGAAGTCCTTGGCTTTAGACCCCCGTTATTAGAAAATAGGACCCTGGTTCCTAAGGCTAGGTGAGTAGTGGGACAGATTTGCATGTGGAAGTGGTTTCAAACTCTAGTATTAGGTTGGGGTGTTGAAACTGTTTACTGTGCTCATTTTGGCAACACATACACTAAAACGTATACTGGGCCAGTTATTGGTTGGGGGAGGGTTCAGGAGGATAAGCTGAGAAAGAGCAATTTTTATGAGTTCCTAGGTGATACTGGATAGACAGCACATTTGAGAACCATTGGTATAGGGTCATGCCTGTGTCCTGGAGGCAGGAGCCAGTATGGGAAGAGCTGTGGAAGGATTAGCATTTGCAGAGCTAGATAGCAATGTGTCTTGGGTGGGTTATTGGCCTACACTGGATTGGGCCCGCTGAGCCTCACTGATATATGAACATTCAGCCTGGTTCTGCATGTTTCTTTTTCTGGTACTGGGGTTTGAACTCCAGACCTAATGCTTGCTAGATAAGTGCTCTGCCACTTGAACCATGCCCCCAGCTCTTTTTGCTTTAGTTGTTTTTCAGTAGGGTCTCGTGTTTTGCCTGAGCCAGCCTGGATCCTAACCTCCTATTTATGCCTCCCACGTGACTGGATGAAAGGTGTATATACCACCATACCCGGCTTATTGGTTGACATGGGTTCTCACTAACTTTTGCCTGGGTTGGCCTCAAATTGTGATCCTCCTAATCTTTGCCTTCTGAGTTGTTTAGGGAGGTAAGACCAGTGCTCTAGAGAGATCTGTTGCAGAGAGGATTGAGGTGACATGATGAACAACCTGAAATCTCAACATTCCCTGTCTCCTTTTTTCACAGGTGCTGGGCCTGGTGCGGGTGCCCCTGTATACATTACCAGATGGTGTGGGAGGCCTGCCTGCTTTCCTGGAGAATTCCTTTATTGGTGCTGCCCGGGAGCAGTTATTGGAAGCCCTCCGGGACTTGGAACTCCTAGCACCTGCCTCTGTCTTAAGCCTCAGAACCCCAGCTCGTCAGTAGAGGCAGCCCTCCACGGACCCATGGAACCTGAGATTAGGACCTTGGTACTGGGGAGGGAGGGAAGGAAAAGAAAGTTCCCTCTTCTGGGCAGAGAGATGATAGATGATACCAGATTAAAAGAAGGAGACCTGTGTGCAATGTGTTTTGAGCAGAGAGTCTTCCCAACTCATGGCATCAAGAACAAAAATGCATAGCACATCCCAGGTCTGGGGCAGATTCTCAGACAGCCTTCTCCACAGCCTGGAAGCGCTAGGCAGCACATGTACAATCTGTGACTGCACAGCCTAACTAATTCCCTCCATCATGCCCAGTTTAACCAGGATGTGGTGTTTTCTGGGCCTGCCTTATCACAATCCTCTCTCTTCCTGGGGCAGGGTTGCCTCCTCCTCTCCTATGTGGCCACTGTCCATGGTCTAGTCCAGCCCATTCTTGTTGGAGAAGGCAGAGGCAGAGGACCCTCTGCTCCCTGAAAGTGGTTCCACTCTTACCTGAGGATTGACAAAAGCAATTGGTTAGGACAAAGTCCTAACCAATCCCTCCCGCCTTTATTCCCCTGCAACTGAGCATAAAGGGTCAGGAGGTGGCTAGGTCTTCCTACACTGACCTTGGACTTGAGACCTCTGAGTCCTGGTACCTCTCCTCCTGGACTTTCATTTCTGAGGGAAAATGAGAAGGAAATAACCAGCCCCTCTCTAGCTTGCCCTACCGAAAAGAACCTACTGTAAAAAGGCTGATAGCTGGGCCTCCATGCTTTCTGTTCTCTCAATGGACACTGGCTAAGTACCTCGTAAATGCTAGGTATGGTAAAAATATATAGAGAGAGCCATAGCCCTTGCTCTGTAAGACTTCAGATCAATTGATGGGTAAACAGCTTCTTAAAGGGCTGTATAGTAAAAACTAGGCGGTATAGCCACATGGTTTTAGTGGCAAGCCTTAACTCTGACATGTCAATTCCTGTATAATACATATATTTGTGTTGTTATGTCCTAATAAAAACAGGTGTTGAGCCTCAGGGCCACAGTGTACTAAAGATTACTCTACAGGGAAAAATAGGTTAATAATATTATTTGTGCTGACTATGTACCTGTTAAGTGTTCACAAGGAAAAAAGGAATTGATATAGCCCCATTTTGATATTTTTATCTTTATTTGGATTGGTCTGAAAAGCCCCTCTTTGGAGAACATTTAAAGTAAAAAATGAGAAAGAAGTATCAGATAGAAATGTGGGAATTGTTGTCCAGAAAGGAGCATATGTGCACTCTGAGGTAGAAAGAATTGTAGCAAACCATCCCAAAATGCATTGCTTAATGCAATAACCATATTATTGTATTTCAAGATTTTGCAGTAATTTCACAAGGCCCAACTGTGTAACTGTTCCATGTGATTCTCACGCAGGTCCTTAGAAAAGTACAGGTGATATTAAGCTGGCTTATAGGGCCTGACTGAAGAATCCAAGACAGCTTCAGTCCTAGGCTTCAGTGGTGGCTGGAGGCTGGGTTCTACTGAAACCAAACCCCCTGTACATGGCCTCACCATCATGATGTTCTAGGTAGATGAAATCCCTTCAAGAGTGACTCAGGGATCACAGAGAAGTTTCTGGGTGACCAAGGTAGAAACTGCAAGGCTTCTGAGCTGGCCTGGGAATTTCACCGTGTGCCTTTTTCATACTCTGTTGGTCATTAAAGTCCAGACAAGACTGAAGAGTAAGAGAATTGCACATTATTTCTTGATGGGGAGGATAAGGGATAGGGCAGAGAACCAGCAAAGAACATATAGCCAACTTTGACTGACTGGCGCATGTCCTGTAATGGAAAAAGCCAGTATGTTTAGATATTAGTAAACAAGGGGTGATGACTGAAGATTTAGGCAGGAGCCAAATGGTACAGAGTTTTGGCAGGTTATTTCTCCACTTTTTCTTTCCAGCTTATTTTCTGAGTTCTCTGGAGCTGGTGTGCATAGCTTCTGTCTTACCCTGCAAGCATCCCTTCCCAGAACAGGCTTCCTTCTCCACCAGCTGCCATATAGTAGTTGATTGGTATGGGTTTGAAGCATTTCCCTGGCTTGGTCCTGGCAGTGCCAGGTGGGCCAGAGGGAGGAGAGCAAAGCTCAGACTCTGCATGGCTGCTCCTCCTGCTGAGGGACAGATAAGCTGGGGTGGCTTTACTCTGGCTTTCCCTGTTAAGGACTGGGGAGGGGAGGGCTCCTTTTAAGCCCTGACCCTGCACACTGTAATAAGATGTCCAGCTGAGCATGTGACCATGGCCACCTTTCCTTATCTGAAGTGTGGGCTGTGATTCCTGGGGAGAGGGTTAATGGAGGAGCACTGGCTTAAGTGGAGAGATAGGCCAGCACCATGTCAGCAGTTCTTCCTGCTTCTTAGCACATATGATCCCTTGGGAGAGGAGAGGCCCAGCTCCCTCCCCCAAACACCTATTTCTGCCCTTCTCAGCATAATGGGCAAGGTGTTTCTACTTCTCACCTGGCACTTTTCCCTGGAGCATGCAGGCTGCTGGGGCGGAACAAACGCTATTGGGCTTCATGTGGTCCTGAGCCGTGGTCCTGAGCCAAAGTCCTGCTGCTGCTCCTGTCTGTCTCCTTCCCTAGGAACTCTGGCTCTGGGGGAAGCTAAGTGAAACAGACAGTGCAAGTGGAAGAAAGGTGGGAGAGGAGGTTTTCCATGAGTTTCAGTTTACTACACAGAAAACAGTAAAATCCTATATCCCAAACACGCACCTGAACAGGGAAACAGAAAGGCAAAAACAGGTGAAAACTACGTCATCTGTGATGAGATTTGCAGTTGGCATCAGAATTTGAGCCGTCTCAGGCTAGAAGCACAGATCAAGTGGTAGGGTGCTTGTCTAGCAAGCCAAGGCTCCGAGTTCAAAATCCAGTTCCTCAAAAACATTTTTTTCTAGGTAGTGATCCACCTAGAATCAGAGGAATTCTAGGTGGATCACTAGAGGAATCCACCTTAGAGGAATAGATGAGTGGAGGGGGCATTCTATCTAAAACACAGCCACTACTGAGGCAGCAGGAGGTATGGGTGGGGTGGAGGAAAGGAAACTGTTCCCGTGGACTTTAGTCCACAGAACCCTCCTGCAAGGAGAGCCAGGTGGCCTGCTCCCTGGCTGTGTGTAGCAGTCCATGATCCTTGCTGCAGTGGATACAGTTTGGTAGAGACTGCAGGGGTAAGGTGAAACCACCCCATAAGGCCCCACTCACACTTGCTCTCACACTTGAAAAGCAGCAAGGACCTGAAACTCACAAGGAAGCTCCTATCCGTTGTTCCCAGACCCACCCATGCTCCACCTCAGGCTCGCTCCCTCTCCTCTGTGGCAGTGGCAAAGGATACAACCTTCCATTCTGCATGAGGAGTCCCGTATGGGGTTTCAAAATTCATAAACATCCCTTGCCAAAGCAAGTCCCCACATGCCCAGTTCCCCCACTCCGAAGGACAAGCCTGATAGACTTACAACATTCTGGCCATCAGCACTAGATTCAGGGTGAGCATTGAGGCAAAGGCCTGCTGAACAGGGAGGGGAGGACAGGTCCACGATCTTCTGTTTGAGAGCCAAAGAATAGAAGAATAGTCCCCAGTTGCTTTCAGAAAATGAGAAGTGGCAAAATTAAATCTGTTCCAGACTACTCCAGACTTACATAGGACATGAACCTGGGTGGAAGTGGTGAAGAGCTTGTTCCGGAAGATTTATTTCAGGGCATATAAGCAGTAGGTGCTCAGGGAATTTAAGGAAAACCTGGACTCTGGAAGGAGTGCCAGGAAGAAATGAGGCATACAGACGCTGGCGGCACTGAGGCAAGGATTTAGGAGATGGAGCTCTTAAGAGAACCTGACAAAACACCAGAGAATCAAAGAGCATCATCAACACTGGAAGAACTTTCTCTGATGCACAGCAGAGAAGAAAATCCCGTAGGAATGGAAGAAAATGTACAACTCAAGGAACATGAGCACACGATGTGGCAGAAGTGGAGTCAGGTAATGGAAATTCAGAGTATTGCTGATGGCGAGGATGGAAACACTGAACGGCTGGATACATGTGAAAAAAAAAAAAGAAAACACTATTTAGAGTGAACAGACAAAAACTTTCCTGAACTAAAAGAGACTTCACCTGCAGGTTGGTAAGACTCACTGTTTAAGCGGGGGAAATGGCCTTGTAAGACAACCTGAGATTTTTTTTTTTCATTTCCCAGGCATGGATAGGTTGGAGAGTTAGGTCGCTCAGTTTACCATAACTTCACATGTGTGTAAGCTGGTATCGTGTGAAAAAGCATGGATTTCACCTATGCAGTCCATCTGGAGACCTAGGAGGGTGTTTCTGAGCTGTGCTCAAGGCAAATCACAGGAATAACTGAGGAATAGAAAAGCTGAGCTGTCAGGGGCTGGTGGGGAGGAGCAGTCCTTGTTATAGGTCCAGTTAGCACCAAGTAATTGTGTCAATGATGACTGTAAAACAGTACCAATTGAAAGAAAATATGTGTAACAGAAAATGAAAATGATGAATAATTTGATTAATACACTAATCTCAAAATCCTAGATCACCCCCTGGAAAGATAGTAAGGAATAATAAAATGCTCTAATTTGACTGGGGAAAGGAGTGGGTATTAAATGCAACCTGAAATTGATAAGATGCTGAGACTAGGGAGAAATAGGAAATTTTACTGTTTTCAAGGTGCAAGGTAAGGCAGTATGATTCTGGCTGAATATAAAAGGGTGCCTGGCAATTAGTTAAGCAGCAAAGAATCATCATAATATTGATGTTAAAAGCATTAGAATATTTAAAAATTGATTGACATATCCATACTGGTCAGAATTATCATGAATTTCAGATCACATATAGCAAGATCTTGAAATGCAGGGAGATGTTAACAGCATCATTTTAGGGGTATTTAAACATATTTGCTCAGGTCCTTTACAGATAAAATGCCAACATATGAATATGGCTATCTAAGATTTAAAAATAATGAAATCCTCCATGATGATGACAATAGTCAACATTTTAGGGGTGCTTATGTGTGCAGGGATGATTCTATGCTCTTTATATATATAGAGAGAGAGTCTTTAGAACAACTTTATGAAGTAGATTCATTGTTATCTCCATAGTCCAAATTTAGAAAAAGAAATCCCCAAGGTCAACAATACAGTTAGAATACTTTGACCAAAAACAAATACTGATTTCTATAACTTCAAGGAGAGAATATACCTTTGATGACCCTGGAAACATTTAGTGAATTAGCCATAACACCTCAGTGATGCCAGGCATTGTGGTTCACTCCCATAATTCTAGAACTAGGGAGGCTGAGACAGAAGGACCTAGGCCAGAGTTGAAGGCTAGCAGGAGCTACACAGTAAGACCCTGTCTCAAAAAAAGGTAGAACTAGGGATGTAGTTTAGTGGTAGAGAGCTTGCCTAGCATGAGCAAGGCTCTGGGTTTGATCCCCAGCACTGCAAAAACAAAACAAAAAATAAACCTTAGTAAATCCTCTTTACTCTTTTATCACCCTCTTGAGATTATAGAGTGCACGCAGTGTTCTCTGGCCATGTAATAAAAGCAGATGTAAAATATGTGGACAGAGACTTTGTTATATTATTTTTTGGTGGTACTGGCGTTTGAACTCAGGGCTACACGCCTTTGTGTGACGTGTGCCTTCCTCAAATGTTATGACATTGCATATTTCCCATCTGGTGTGAAAAAAAAACAACAAAAAAATCCTCATCACCCTCTAGGGAAGCTTTTGCCCCCTCCTCTGGGCTACCATGGCAACCTAAGCATGCCTCTGCAATAGAACATACTGCACTGCCCAGGATTCTGTCTTTAAATTGCTTTTGGCCCTACTAGAACACGACTCTATACCCCCAGCATCTGTTATGTTGCTCGAAAAGTAGACCCAATAAGCACTCAGATGCTTATCGAATGCATGCTTCCTGAAAAGTCTTTGCTTTTATGAAGGTTCAACAAGCCTCCATACATGGAAGTTCATTTTGAAGATTAATTCATATAAATTCTTTTTCAAAGAGTTTATTTCACACTGTGGCATCAAACTAGGATTCACATTTCTGCTATAAACCCAGTGGTCATGTGACCCTGGGCAACATGCTGGGTCTTGTTTCTCTCATCTGTAAACATCTCAAGGGTGCCCTACATTTTCCATTTAATTTCAGCACAGAGCCTAGAACATAGGATGTACTCAATGAATATGAAGGGATTGGCTAAATGATCTCAAAAGGCTCCTCTAGGGCTTCCTAAACACTTCCCCTAGCCCCATCCAATCAAAGCACTTATTAACCCGAATCGATAGGACAGAGGTTAAACTAACAAGGCGGCTTGTAGGTATCCTAGCAACTTATCACCATTACACTTCCTAATCATCAAATGATGGGCAAGTACAGATGACCTCACCTAAGGTACGTGTTCACACTCAAGACCAATCTTTGACTATTATGCATTAAGGTCTTATTGTTCCCTAGAGATGCTTCAACTATCTTCCTCCATCTATTGGCTGATACTTGAGATCCTGCCATTAATCTTTTTAGTGTGAAGGCCTTTATGTTCTTGAACAAAAATAGAACATCTGTGAGTTTTTTAATAGTGCTTGATATCAGAATAAATATCTGTACGTATTAGCTACGTGGAACTTTTAAAGACTATATTGGTGAGTTGAGAGGACCATATTATTTCAATTTCAAGATATTATTTTAAGGGAATTAAATTAGAAAATTGTTGCTTCAGATCTGCTGGCATGACAGCTAGTGGCAGTGTGTTATTGATTGGTTGTGGTGGGCAGTGAGGCCTGCAAATTCATATAGCTAATTATATGACAAAAGTCTATGCTAAACATCTCAGGCATACCACATTTCCCTTATGTATTGAATATGTTGGTATTAAACTACTATCATTCACTTACGTCAATGCATGAAGAAAGAGCTAAAAGTACATTTATTAAGTGGGAAGAAAACAAAGTTTCCAGGATTAAAAATTGGAGAAAGAGAGAGAGCACTAAAATGGGCAAAACAAATAGCAATTAACTAGTTAACAATCAGTTAATTAGCAATTATCACAATAATGCTATGCAACTACTATACAATCTCAGCAGTGTGTAAGATAAGCACTTGTTTAGCTCATGTCTGCAGCCTTGTAGCCCAACTGGGGTCAGCTGTTCTGGGCTGGATTGGTTGGGACTAACCTTTCCATATGTTTCTAATTCTCCTTCTGGGACCAGCAGATGAGATCAGGTGTTCTCTTGGTTGCAGCAGAGGAACAAAGTATAACTACACTTGTGTAATTGTACCTTTGATTGTATCACACCTGCTGATGTTCCATTGGTCAAAGGAAGTCACACGGTGGAGCCAAAGTCAAGCAATAGGGAAATATACTCTTGGTGAAAGGAGATGCGAAGTCATATGGTAATGAGTGTGAATGGGATGAAAGATCAAGACTGTTTATGCAATTCACCCCATAGCTAAGATTAAAGTTATTTAGAGCAGATGTCATCTCCTTAAATTATGACTGGTAAACCAATTCCACTGGACGAATGACAGGCTTTTCAGGAATCATTCAATATAGCTAAAAACCTCCCAGACCACCCCATGGTCTACAATCTTAATCTTGTCTTTCCAGCCAGAATATTTTTGGCTTTCAAACAACAGACCATTAAAAACTACTAGAATTGTCCAATTGTTTCTGCCTTATTTATTTTGAAGTGAGATTTGGACTTCTGGATGGTTCCAGTGGAATTTCTTACCAGGAGAGGGCTCTCACATTCATAGCTATAATTCAGAGACACTTGTAAGTAAATGCTGCTTGCTAATTATGTAAGACCAAACAAGATGCACAAGTAGGGCAGGCAAATTCAATGATAAACTTCTTCCTAATCTTCTTTAAACCAACTTGTCTTCCCTTTTCTTTGGTGATAAGCAAGAAAGAGAGGTTGGTCTCCTGAGATTAGCCACACAAAGGCTCTGGTGCTCGACCTTAATTTCTACTGACCCAATTATCAGCCAATGGGTGTTTTGCCTGACTGATTGCTTCGTTGATGTTGAACCAATCAGGCAAGTGCTAGGTCTAATTCTGGTTCCATATTACTTTCTGAGCTTTTATTGCTTAATCATCATTCATGGAGCAGGCCAGAATGACTGGGTTTCCATGGCTCAAATCTGATACTCATGTACAAATAAGTTGCAAATGAGGACTTGAATCCTTCAAATGTGAAGGAAAATCATTTTGCTTATGTAAAACCATCTACCTTTATTATGCATGCCACCATGGGGAATTGTGGGCTGAGCCTCCTGTCATAAAATGTATGAAGTCAACTAAAATTTTGGAAATGCAAATACATTTCCATTTGCTGATGGACATGTATTATTTATGAAGTTTTTATAAGTATCAGAAGATCTAATTTAAACCTTTCCAGCTCACATACCTGGAAATCTCAGAGATATTTGGGTTTTAGGATTATTTGATCCATGGACTCTGTGATTCTTTTCTTCTCTCAGTGGAGTCTAATGTGTGTAGTGAAGACACTACATCAAGTCTTTTTCCCCTTATTTATATCCAATGGGGAGTCCTTTACTTAGTAATGATTGAGCCATCACTGGACCAGTCCCTGTGGTCAGAGGAAGGATATGAGCTGACTGACTTAGGTAGGTCTGGGTGACCAAAATGAGTCACTATCAAGAAGAAGAGTAGGATTAAGTGTGTATGTGTCTTGAGGGGGGGGAGGAGTCAATCTTCTTCAAATTTCAATGGTAATTAAATAGTAATTAATTAACACTCAAAATTAACAATTATCACAATACTGCTACATAACAACCACACAATCTCAGCAGCCCTGTAACCCATCTGGAGTTAGCCGTTCTGGTCAGGGCTATTGTGACTAATTGCACTCTGTGTTTCTCACAGCTGCTATTCAACCAGGAAGGGAAGAACAGTACAGTGTTCAAGGGCTGGGGGCGGAGCTCAAGCAGGAGAGCACCTGAGGCTCTGAGTTCAAACCCCAGTACGGCCAAAAAGAAAAAAAAAAGTACAATGTTCAAACTGGCACTAATGGTGGCATGAAAAGCAGTCTATTGTCTCTGAATTAAGTACATGGGTTTTTTTTTTTTTGTCAAAGTATAAAAGGCACAAAACAAAATGTATTAGTCTGCCTGATTTCAAATGGTTGCCTGGAATTAAAGGATTCCATTTAATCCTTGGAAACCATTGCTCTCTGGCAGTCTCCCCATTCCCACCAGTACTTAATAACAGACTGAAATTAGCAATGGACTTTGTAGCTTACTCAGTAAGTAGATAACATAGCTAGTCTCATGTCCACAGTTCTTATTGTTGGAAATGCTTCAGCAGAGACAAAAGAGTCAAATGTGACCTTGCCTCTATTTGGCATGCAATTCTGCTCCATGTCAAAGATAAGTATTGCAACCT